TTTGGGATTATCTTAAGATAAACATCCTTAAAGAAAATATTCATTAAACATTACACCTGACTGGGTGAACATATCGCTGGCTGTTTTCAAACCGGAAATATGTGCTGTCACTTCTGGGTAGACAATCAAGGTTCAGCCTCACTATGCACAATAATCAGTTTCTGAATAAATCTAAATAAATCAGAAAGCCACACAGTCTTAGAATGATGCATCATCTAATAGCAGATGTTATGCAGTTATATAGCTGTTTTCGACATTCGGAGTTGGGAGTGACTGTAGCTGCAAATCCTTTTTTTTTTTTTAAACACACCCACACATTTTCTTCATGACATTTTCTACACTCAAATGTCATGAAGAAGACTGAGCTACTGGCTTTGTGACACAAAAATTCCATGACTATGTTTTCACAAACACACAAACCCACTTGTGTGACTTTGATGTGATCATGAGGCGTTGGCTCACATAAACCAGTGAGGTCAGGATTATAACTGCGACCATCAGGGAACAAGTAGCTGCAAATAAAGAAAGAAGTGTTAGCGAGAAAGCAGATACAGACACACATAAAGGTATTTGATCAAAACATTTGGATCAAGCTCATTTCTTTGGCAATTTCTCTGGGATGCATTTCACTTACTGCACTAAAGGGATTATTATCTCTGACAGTCTAGACATATGAAAAAGTAAACAACATCATATAACAGGATTTAAATGAATTGATTCAAAATACCAATTATAGGAGATGTGCAATTCAAAACTTAAAAAATAAAATAGCATATGCGTTACTGGTACTATATTCGCATTGGATTAAAAAGGAAAACATGGCCGTGAGTGATTTTACCAAACTGCAGAAACTCTTTTTCACTTAAGGTCAATTTTTTATTCATGCAAGCCTTGATATAACCAGAAGGACACGAAAGAGCAACTAATAACTTCACCTCCCCTACAGTTGCTTGGGCCTCTACTTGAACAAAAACAGAGGTGCTTCAAACAGGATCACCACCCTACCACCACCCCTCCTCCGCCCTCCTCTGGACTTCAAAATAAAAAAACTGCAATCTGTGAACAACCTCAGACAAAAGATCCCAAAAAACATCTATTTCAGGCCTGTTTTAATTTTATACATGGCCTGTAGACTGCTTGCAAATCTGGCTGGTATGTGTACACACACACACACACACACACACACACACACACACAC